CAAGGAGGGAAAACAGTACACCTCTCTGAACAGTGTCTGGGAGGCTGTGGTTGCTGCTGCACACAATGTTGATGGTGAACAGATCAAAACACTGACAGAATCCATGGATGGCAGGCTTTTGAGTGTCCTTGCAAAGAAAGGTGGCTATATTGGTCGCTGATTTGTTTTTGTTTTGTTTTTGAATGTCAGAAATGTATATTTGTGAATGTGGAGATGTTATATTGTTTCACTGGTAAAAATAAATAATTGAAATGGGTATATATTTGTTTTTTGTTAAGTTGCCTAATAATTATGCACAGTAATAGTCACCTGCACACACAGATATCCCCCTAAAATAGCTAAAACTAAAAACAAACTAAAAACTACTTCCAAAAACATTCAGCTTTGATATTAATGAGTTTTTTGGGTTCATTGAGAACATGGTTGTTGTTCAATAATAAAATTATTCCTCAAAAATACAACTTGCCTAATAATTCTGTACTCCCTGTATAAAGCTTAAATATCTTCATGAAACTTGTTTTTAATGCTGCTCAAAGAGTCTAATGCATGCACTCAGTTTTCAGGATGTGTGAATAAGTTAAGTAATCGGAATATTAATGTTCAAACTAATATTTACTAACCCAGGCTCTCACTTCTCATGCTGTAGTGGATATTTAAAAATGAGGCTCTGGATATGAACGTTATACAAGTACCATTTATTCCAGCTTGGCAAATCACGATTTTCAAACATAGTTTCCTTACTCATGCCTTAACTGTGGTTTAGTCTCTACTAATGAGCAGGAATTAAAGCAGAACATCTGGATAGGAATTGTCAGGAAGTAAATTCTACATCTGTTTTCAGCAGTGTAACTTTAGCTGAAATGTAGCACAATATTGCCCTTTTTATTGACCTAAAGCACTGTTTTCTTTTCTACGGAACCTGCAATTCCTATTTGTATAATTTTCTCCACCTATATAAAGCACAGAGAAGCAGAGTTTGGAGGTAATACTGAAGAGCCTCAAAATGCTAGAAAATAGAAATGAGGAGTAGAGTGTTCATGCAAAAAAAAAAAAAAAAATTTGGTTAAAGTAAGAAGCACAACACCTCCAGACATGGTCTAATTTAATTATTAGATCATTTTTCAAAATTACCTTGCATTAAAAAAAAATATTTTCTTTTTCAATCAAAAGTTCAGAAATGGCTCCATCTGCGATTGTATGAAATCAGCTATTCTATCGATGTCTAGCTTTTTACTTGATAAATGACTTTAATTATTACGTTATTATTGGGCACAGCGCTGAATGCTTTTGTTTTTGTCTCGGGGTCCTTCCCTAAGTGATCACTTTTAAGGTAGTGCCAACAGGATTGGTGGAAACATTGTGAGCAGAAAATAATACATCTTATCTCAGACTGCTACCTGCCAGGCCAAAACAACAAGTAGGAAAAAGCCCGAGGCTGAGAAAGAATGCTACTATTCACAGGAAACAGGCACTGGCAGTGACAGCATGCAATCCCATCCATCACCAATTTATTTCAATCTTGAGTGATTTGGGTCCATTTGGGTCTCTTGTGATATTCGACACATACCTATCATTTGCATAATTAAGCTCCAGAGCAGTGGCAAAAGACAGCCATTTGGTGTATTAAATTCACACCTTATCAATCAAGGGAGCATCAAGATGTATGAGGACCTCCTGACTTCTTGGCCTCATTTGAAATGCTAAATACAGCCTTTTCTTCAAGCCTGGAGCTAGACCTGGCTGCCTGGTGGCTTCCATACACGTAAGCTGTCGCGGTCAGATCCCAGCCCTTTCCCTCAGGGGGTTTAATCATCAATCAGTCTCCTACTAACTTCTGTCTAACTCCCTGACAGTCAAGATGGATGGTGCCAGCATTTACAGGATGCTGTATCCTCTCATTAGTTCTCTAGTTAGCATGCACCGATAGCAGTGAGATATGGCCCGTTTTATCTGTTTTCCACCAGACAGCAGTCTCTCCCTTTTCTGGGACAGGGTCAACAGTTAATCATTTCTCAGGCACTGGTTACTTAGTACCACAATGATGCGATGTGTCAAAATTGGACAACATACATTCCCGGGATTGAGTGAAACAAAGACACCAGTGTCCTCCCACAAGAGCCCTCTTTCTGTTTAAACGACTCAGTGGCTCCATTGCCACCAGTGGCCAGCGCTAAACAGAACCAGCAGATGAATGGGCGCTTTTTTCCCAACACGCACTTCTTTGCAAAATGAAGCCTTCGCAGGCTGCGGGGACACTTCAACTGGCCTTTTTCAACAGCCATTACGCTGAGATCACTGAACGAACACGGCGCAGATTGCCACAAAAGAGTTAACAACGGACCGAGGGGGGGGGATTTTGTGTGTGTATGTGTGTGGGTGAGGGTGGGGTGGGATGGGGGTGGGGGCAGAGATGATGAATGAGTGGATCACAACAACTTTTGGAGAAGGCCTTTGCATCCACACAGAGGCTCCTCAAATTACATGAGTGACAGCTCAACTCGCTTACCCCACCCCCACCCTCCCAGTGCCCGCTTTATAATCATAGCACAGTTGCTCATTCTAAAACAGGCCAGTTAAGAAGTGTGTTAAGGAGTCAGTTTTCTTTACAATAAGTGCTTGTCAGATAACTACAAACCAAAGTCACCTTTTGGTTGTCATTATTCAAGGCAACACATGCTCAGCAAAGATTGAATGTAATGGAAATTATTTTCACGTGTTTACAAGACCACTGTAATCCTGGCTAGATCCTTAAGTGGCTTTAACCTGTTAGGAACAACTAGAATGTCAACAACCCATTAACGGTTAGGTGTAGTGTCAGTCACTTTTTATGCAATCTGTCCCTATCTAACATATCCAAATGAAAAGATTATAGCAGAATAAAAGGAAAGCCAAAATACATGTATGAGACTTTAATTGAAGGATAACATTATTTCAAACATGTATCCTTTTCACAAATAGGGCTTTATCTCAGCCAAAAACAATAACTAGAAAGATCTTCAGAGATCACAGGGTTCGGGATTAGGACTGGTTGACCTTGACAGGCAAAGTGTATTTCACTAAACAGCAGAATCATTTAGATTTGCAAAAATCATTAAAACTTTCCAAACCACTAAAATGAACGAGCACTCAGATGTTTGCTCTGTCAGGAGTTGGGAAAGCAAAAACTGAACCTATTAGTAGTACAACACAGAAAATACTAAACTTCCCTGTGCTTTGCCCCTCTGTATAATAAATTTTTCCAATGTACCAAATGTATAAACAGACATATGTTGGCAATGCTTCATTTTAACTCTTCACATTAAAAGCCCAGGAGTTAACATATCAACAGAAAAAGATAAAGTCACAAGATAAAGTAGGCTACTTTTACGGCACTAAGACAAACTGGTTCAAGGATCTTACTTATTCTTCCTACGGTCACAGATACTTGGACTTATTGCTCTGCTGTTCAGCTGATAGAAATACTTTGAATAGCTTTTAGATTGTTCTATGTGGAAACTACTGAATGGACAATTTGATGTCAGTGGAGCAACTGGAAGAAGTGCTGATGGTGCACTGTGATTCTCATTTTATTTAGATTAACTACCCCTTAATACAAAAGCATCTCATGCCTCAGTAGAGATAAAGCTCATAAAGGTGCAGTGTCAAGACTGGAATCTTGATCGGCACACGCATTAAGGTGCCTCCATCCCTCGGGTTTTTAACGACTAAAGGATAGACTCATTGTGCTGTTGCCCACATCTGCAGGTTATTTGTTGTAGTTGACACTTTAACAGATTAATTAATAGAGACATGCAACCATCTTTTGTTGTGAGGACTCTGTACCAAGATGTAATAAAAGGTAGTTAAAATGACTCTGACAACCCAGAGCAGTTGGTTGTTCTGCTGCACCACACTCCCCATGGAAATAAATTGTGTGCTTTCTTTCAACCTGAGTGCACAATCGGATCTTATGTGTGCGTATAAGAACAAAAGAACAATAAGAAGGGGTTTTGTGGGGTCGGATAAGCGATAGCCTCCTAACATTAGCACAACTTGAGGCAGGCTGTGTTGCTCTAAATTACATGGTCTAATATATTTCATTAGCACACCTCCCTCAGAGGGGTCCCTAATGGATGACAGCATGGCATAAAAGCTTGTCTGCCAGGGACACTAATTTGTTCTTAGACGCATTCCGTTCAATTATTACTGGCTGCTGCTCCTTATAAGCTGCTTAGATTGAGGTTGCTCGCTTTGCAAAAAAGAAAAAGTTTGGCTAATAAGGGGCGCTGCTTAGGTTCCGTGACCCAAGTACCTAAGTCGCCCTTCTTTTAATCTGCAGTGATTTCTATCGCTCAAGTCAGGTGTCTACTGGAAGTAATCCTCTGGGAGTTCAGAGTGACAGAAAGCACATTATCGGTAATTGTAGTGGAACACTCGGCACCACAACAATCCAAAAACCAGCCTCCCTTCATAAATATCCCGAGGCCGAAATGCCACAGGACAGCGGCAATTTGTTTTCCCACTCTGTCTGGGTCATTTGGCCGGGTCACAGAGAATACTGAGTGACTGGATGGACTTCCTCTAGACCTGTATATTCTGCTAGTGATTGTCTTGGCTTCCAGCCAGTAACACAGAGGGAAGTGTTGGGAACTGCGGAGCTAAACTCAAGATATTATTTAATCCCAGTGTCAACAGAGTCATGTCAATAAATTAAAACCCTCATAATCGCTTAATACAAAATCAAATTATTAGACTTTATGCAAGTTTATTCCTGTCAAACCAGCTCATGTAATCCTACTATCACACACAACTATACGTCCACTGGTGCCTAAATTGTCATTCACCTGTTTTGCATAATCTAATCACAAATACTATTAAGTTCATTACCTTTTTTCCTTATTTTTTTCATTTATAAAATGAACTGAATTATTTATAAAATGTTGTTAAATAAAAAAAAGTCTGAGAATTTCTCCCAAAAATTACATAAAAAATAAATCAATAAATGAGTGAAAGTGACTCACGTTCACATGCGTCTCCCTTCTGATGAAATCCAGCTTTGCATATACATTTCCCAATGGGCACTAGCCATTCCCCCTCAGCACTGCAGTGCATCTTAGGAGAGTTATCGGCTTCCTCCTCGGCATCGCTCACGCACATACCCTCGACCTCCACCAGTGAGGAGAACTCTGATCCCGTCACGGTGTCTGGGAACGTGGCCAGGTTCTCGATGATAGACCAACACTTCTTGTAATAAACTTTTACAGAGACCAGGGCGATGCACGCTCCTACATCCTGGAAGGCCAGGTAGAAGCCCCGCCTGGACAGGGGGCCAATTATGCGCACTTCGGTGTTCAGCTTCATCTTCCTCTCGCCTAGGTCACCCTGAGTGAAGCTTTCATCTGCTGCAATTGTGTCTATTTTCACGTACTGGTTCTCCCGTAAGCTTCGTCCTACCTCTGAATCTGTTTCCTGGTAATACAAGTTGAATGTCTCCTTGCAAGTGCCCACCACACCAGGTAGGCTGTTACAATCCCTCAAGGTGAATTTCAGCTCCACAAAAATTCTCTGGGCATTGCCCTTCTCTATCCAGTTAGTCCGAAGCCAGTTATTCTGATTGGGTTCCATGACTTGGCAAACCTGGTATGTTCGGATGGGTGTATAGTTCTCATCCAAGCCGCTTATCTCTTCCCACTGAAAGAACACAACACAGATTTGTACATGAATGCATCCACACAGAAACAAACTTGAATGTGAAAGCAATAACAGAGATAGGTGTCTAATGAAGAAACTTAAACTGCAGGTGATTACACTGTAACGAATACGACAAAGGTTTATGAAATATAGTCATTTCAGACAGCTTTATATACAAAAAACTGCAGAGAAGGTAGATTATCCGTTTATCGCACAAGCACATCTTTAAAGAATGATGGTGCTCAGTTTATCTGCTGGTGCTCACATTATTTATTTAAAAAGTCTCCCCCCCCACACACACACTTTAATCAGCAAGTTAGAAGTGGTTTGCTTGAGGCCTTTGTGCTCTGAATGCCAAAAGCCGGCAGAGTTTAGCTGCAGAAAACAGCCTCTTGCATGCTCCATCTTTCCTCAGGACAGACCTCTCTTGAGCAGAGGACTATAGCACATACATATTATTATTCCTATCACATATGTGAGACATCACAGATAGCAGGGGAAAAGATCCAGATATATGGAGCACATCCGCATGCACTCGATGCGGTTCTGCAGACTTACCCCATTGGGAGGATAGGAGATCCACTCCAGTTCTGTCTGCTGTGCCTTGGAGTCCAGTAGAATCACTAGTGACAGGAAACCAAGAAGCAGGTGGTTAAATCTCACCAGGGCATCGGGCCTTGGAATTACTGATAGGCCACACGTCTATACAGCACAAACCCGCGACCTAATTTCTGCCAGCAGAAAAATAGAAACGCAGAGAGGAAGGTATACACTGCAGCAGACAGGTCCTCATGCTTGGAACTTTCTAGCTCACTATGAAAAACACTAACGAAACATATGTAATAGGAATCACTACAAAAAAAATAAGCATTTGTATCTAATTTATATATTTTCCTTTTTAAAATTAAAAGTAATTTTAGCATGAAAGTTGTTGCCTTACGAAGAAAGTAGCTCTTATTACCCTGGACTTACAAGTGCAAAAAGATGAAGGCTATTTTGAGCTCCAGACGGCCACAAAACTACAGCGAAACAATGTGTGACATGCGGCGTCTCCGCAATTTTAAAGGACGGCGGCGACGAAGAGGGCAGTGGGGACGCGTGCGAGAGCGCAGAGCGGCACCGCGGCGGCTTCCCGAAAAATGGAGGAAGTTGTTTCAATTGTATTTAATATTAGCAGACATTTACATCACGACGGGGAAGGGAAGCGGCCACGGTGCACCGCCGGGGGAAAAGTCAATCAATAAAATGAATATTTACTTATTTGTTTATTTTTTGCATATTTAAAAAAATAAATCACGTCTGATGGAGGTCTACGAAATCCCGCATTCACCTGTGATTTACAATTCCTCACACCATTCCAGCATCTACGGTTATTACACTGTACTTTCCGCTATGAACACCAGTTCCTGCGGCTGACTTTATGCTTTTACTAACACGATCGTAAAATGTCATTTAACTCAATTCTGGCTAAATGAAGGCGCCAATTATTAGCTGTTATCGTGTATCTGAATTCCCTTCCATTTTAGTCTTCGATTGCCTTGACTCTAGACGACTTGAAAGTCTAAGGCAGATCATGTCTCCGCATCGTTCCACTGGATTTTCCTTCCAGGAAACAAGAACAGACACGACTGTCAAAAGCCGAGGACACTTTGGAGGAAATAACGCTCCGAAACTGCGTCCTGATAGAAGGCTTACTCACTTCCAGCGAGGCGAGACTGCTGCTGAGATATAAACCCACTTACGCCTGACAGACCGTTAATCTATAACAAGCAGGTTATTTGTACCGATTACCCACTGATGCTGGAACAAAAAAAAAAAAAAAAAAAACTAGAGCCTCTGCGCCTATTCTACAGCGTTTAGTTGCCGTGCGTAAAAACACCAAGAGACCGCTTACACCAAAGCCTGGTAGCAGACAATTCTGTTATGCCTGCTCAGTTATCACCTGACATTAAAATTCCGAGTAACTAAAAGCAAAAAGAGATATTTTTCTTTCAATGTCAGGACGCGATGTGCTGATTTTTGACATATTTATGTTAATGTCGTCTCCAACTGCAGTGGGGTGGAAGAGAGGAAAACTTTAGGAACTTACCTTCCTTCGCATTCTGTGCTTCACCGCTGTCTACATAAAAGCATAAATGAAGGCAAAACGTAATCCACAGACACGGGAGAGACCTGGAGAGCATGGTGCAGCTGTGGATTTCAATCTAGACCGTAACTAGCTTTGCCACCGTCTCGCGTGCTTCCCATTGACGACACTGAATCTGCTCTATGTACAACAATCCACTGGTCTCCACTCAAATATCGTCTGCTGCCGCTGGGAGGAGACTAAAGCTCCACTCGTGTCAGTTAGACGGACGGACAGAGGCATTATCCAACAGCAGCGCGAAGAAGGGAACGCAACAGACATGGAGAGCCAATACGAAGATGGAGGTGGAGTTTAAGGGGGATGAGCAAACTGGAGGTCCACGGCTGTGGAAATGTTGTCAGGAAAAGGGCAAGGGATTTTTTAGTATAGTGGATGTCTCAGCTGAACTCTACACGCACTCACACAATACAGCTCTAGTGAAAAACACAGACTTCCGCGGCGTTTGGTGATTTAAACTTTTATTAATTTTTCGGATGATGTCACGGTTGATTTTGTTTTTAATTAAAGGTCCTCTGGAAATCAGTTCAGACACTGTGGAGAGGAGACAGTCAAACATCTAATCTGTAAACTCGTAATAAATCTTCACCTTCAGTTAAAAACTGTTATTTTGTGTTGTTGTTTTTTTTAGCTTCTGTGAAGCACTTGTCATTTTTATCTGGAACGGTGCTATAAAAACAAAATTTACTTACTTACTTTATTTCAATTATAAACAATAATATGCTTAAAAATGAATTTCATCGCTCCCCCTGGGTCTGAAGCAACCTCACCACAAAGAAATATCTGAAGCAACCACAGCCTCTGAACAAGTGCTGACACATAATGTGTTAAAGTACTAGTAATCCTTCATCATGATGTTATTCAAGTGAAGAAAAGATAAGTGGGCGAAGTCAAGAGTATTTATAATGTAGTTTAATTGTTATGTTACTGATTTTCAACAGATTGCCTTTCCCAGTGTGCTTTCATTTCCAGCTGTGTATATTGATTAGCCCATATATCCGAGTGCATGACTGTATGCCTTTTCCATGAGATAATGCAGTTAGAGTGTGTGTCTCTTTAAAGTTGGTTTTCCTGGTTTTTCCTAGTGTGTGACTTATATGTGATTGCAATGTTTTGTTTCAGCTCAGCTTCATTCAGTTAGAATTTTATTAGAGTCTAAAAGCACCACATTTGTGTTCAAACAAGATTTTGTCTGGCTATGTGGATGCTGGATGTATCACAAGCAACACAAAAAGGCTTCAGCATTGTGTGTGTGTGATTTGGCCAAATTTACATGTTAAACCAACAGCACTGTATATAGTGTCTGTTGTATATTACTGTGTTTTGTTAAATGCACCTCTGGCTGAATCACTATTTTATTTTTTGGCCATTTACTGTTTCGTACTGCTAAACTCAAAGAGGACGTCTGCTTCTTAACTCCAGATTTCTCATTATTGGACTTATCCAGACAAGCTTTGCATGATCCACAGTTCAAAATAGACCCTCTATGACTGTCTTATAGTAGGTCTGGGCACAGCTCCATCAGTTAACCCTCTGCCCCAAACATTTAGTTTTAATTCCATCTTCCACGTGTGACTAAGATGACCACCCATATGGAAAAGAAATAGAAAAAACTTATAAAAGACTTGCATCAGATTTGCTTCATATAGTGAATCATATAAGGCTTACATGATTTACTCATGAAAGTGGCCACTTTCTCATTACTTTCATATATTGTTTTAGTAAGTATCCAAAACATACAAGTTTCATTTATATGATTCTTCAAGGGATCTTATATCCGTTTTCACTCTTGTATGCTTTTCATACAAGTTTCACACAAGACAGATACAAACTTTATAAGATTTATATATATCTTTTCCATATCTTTTCTCTGTGACATCATACACAGCCAAAAGTAGAAAAACGCTGTCTGAGCATTTCTGAACTTTTAGTTCATGTGTTTCCTTGTTCATGCTTTGACCCCATTATTTTAAACATTGGATAAGATTACTGAGAACATCCACAATTGTAATATAAATAAAAGAACAGAGGGAGGGTGGCTTTTCCAGGCTTTGATAAATGTGCTATGTACAGATGTGGAGAAGGAAAACAGAATGTCTAGATTAAAAGAAAATCAAAGTATAATTAAAAAGTTGCGTTTCAGGCTGAGTGGAAGTGGGTTTCCATTGCTTCCTGGGTTCTTATAGGTAAAGGAGTCTTTAATGTTTGAGCCAAATATAGCATTTGATGGAGAGACATTAAATGGCGTTTTTAATCTGTGGAAGGTCACCTTAAGAAAGTCCCACAGAGACAGGCCACTCACACAACAGGACCTGTTTCATTACTGCTCCTGTGCTTCAGAGACTTTCAGCTTAAAGATGGACCCACCGGGGGTCTTTAAGTAACAAACAACCATAAACAAAGAATAAAACACAATTAAAAAGTCTAAAGTTAATTTCCCGCTTTCTCAGATGACTTGGCATATCACTTAAAAATTAAAGCATAAAGCGGCGCTCATTATCCCTTTATACATACAGCATTTGTTGCAGGTCACTTAATCTCCATTACCTCCCAACAAGCAAAACAACTGTAATTATGCCCCACAAATATTGATTAATAAACTGTGTACATAAAAATGGACGGAAGCAGACAAGGACTCACTTCAAGGTTTATTTACTTTTGCTTTTTTTGTACGTTTGTTTTGTTTGTTTATTATGCAAATTGCACCTAATCCATTTTGTCCTTGATACACAATGGAGTCCTGCATGTATGTATTTCATAGAAGATTGTTTGAATTCATCTGGATTAATGTTACCTTTTTTTTATACACACACACACACACACACACGGACACACACACACACACACACACACACACACACACACACACACACAGAGTTACATATATTAGCGGCTGAATCCTCATACTATATTTCAACATCTTTTGTGCCCATCTATTCATTCACAGCAGTTTTCAAAATAATCTTGACTGATGTTCAAGGAATGCAATCCCAATCAGGCATCTACCAGCCATAAGATGGATAACATGGACAGCATCACCACAGCCCTGCAAACAGCTCATTTCACAACAAGGTTCCTGAACCTTAGATGGGCAAGGATGAAAATCAAACCAGTCAGGCCTGTCAGTTAGGAAAGGGATCAGGACTGATAACATCTCCTTCTTCAGTGAAAAGAAAAAGATCCCACTGCTGATAGGGCAGCCAGTGAAGAGTCTTTGGAGCGCTCATCCAAGCACATGACTTCCTCAGTCATTACATAATTTTATGAAGGCCTGGAGAACATAGACTGAAGACCTTCACAGTTAAATTAAGCTCTGGTCCTACCTGCTTACCCTGATGCCAACAAATATGTCTGGAAGTAAGTTCTCCCTCCATGCCCTGTTTGGAAAACACATTCTCCAACTACAACTAGAATCAACCAACATACGCTATTATCAGGAGAAGTGTTGTGCTCAGCTGAGCACCAACTCCCCAAAAGTCAAAACAAATGAGAGGAAACAACTTGAGGTCTCAGAAGTCACTAGTATGGAGGACGAGATGTTCACAATTACAGTTGTAAGCCAGTGGCATTAGAAAAAATACATAAACCTGAGGTATATTTACTAGCAGGGCCATGCCATGGGCCAACATATGGAAGATTTAACAAGAAAGTCTGAGATTCCTTAATAGAGCAATGTATCTATTTATGTATCTTAAGTCCATGTAAATTTGATCTTTTGAGTGACTCAGAAATGAACTGCCACCATTAACTGCATCCATAACCCCAGTTTACTCTTATAATAGAGCACAAATCAGGTATGATACAGATGACATCATGATTGGTTCTGTGCAAGCTGGCAGAGGTTTTGGAGTCACATAGAGCACAACTAAATTACACGAGTGCATCAGCATCCCAATCACAGAGTCACTTAATCAGGTAAGCTGTTGGGATACAGAAGCAGGGTGAAACGCCTTCTCCTATCCAATGGAAAGTGGCTACAGAGGTGTCACTGGAAAATCCATGCAACAACTAAGGCTCTTGGCATTAGCGGAGCCATGCAGAGTACGAAAGTGAAAGAATGGCTAAAGAGTCTGGACAAGGCAGTTTCTGGCTGTGGCTCAGGAATAAATGCAAAGTGGGACAGGAAAGGATCTATACAGCAAGCTGCAGGAAGTAGTAGAGCAAAAATCCCTATTGCTGCAAAAGGGGGCCAAACATCTGCAAGCATCTGCATCATGTGGCTCACAGCTGATGACCCTGTAGCTGACTTCCCGGAATCAGTGGAGTTGCTTCATGATTATCCATTTTCATGTTCAGTCCAGGGTCATGAGTGGGCTGGAGTCTATCCCAGGTGACACTGGGCAACAATCCATCCATTTGTGCTTTTATAATAAGAGAAAATATATTTATATATACTGATGAATTCATTTGCATGGGAATCTCAATGATGTCCCATGTCCTATAGAATGCAGCGTGTCGATTCATGCTGCACTCCTGTTCATAGAAACAAGCTGTAGACACAGTACGTTATGAGACAAACACTGATCACATTACCACAGCTAACTTTTAATCTCTTTCACCTTGTGAGTCTAACTGAATCTTTCACTGTGGCCATCTTTCATCTGAGCCATCCCGGCATAGCACAGTGTGCGCCGTCAGTATCTTGGCATGTCCGCTGGAAGCAGTCAGTATCTGGGATAAGATTTCCTATAATTTCTAAATACACATAGAATTTTTTAAAAAGTTTTTCTTAAAATGAAATTAACATTACATCATGGCACTCACAGAGTGATTGATAAATTCCATTGGGAGTTCACATGGAAACTAAAAAACCTTGTGCCTTGCTTGTAGATACTGCAAAGCCATATGTTGATATCTGGCATCACATTCTTCTAGAAACTGATAGGTTCATAAACATGGCAGCTGTGGCCACCTGTGACAAAATATGAAGTGTGTAATATGTCCATTCACCAACCCAGGATTCTTTTTCTTACCTCCTGCGTGTAAGCCAATGCTTCTTTCTCTCCCTACAGTTTTTATACATAGATACAGACCCTATGCTGGTTTTACAGCGAAAGCAAAATTTTAACGCAATGCTTAAGATCCAACTGTATAATTGGGGTAGGTCTTGTGAATATCCTTAA